CTGTATGTGGGATCCGAACCCTCGGGCGGGAGCGCCGCCGCACTTCCCAAGCGGCGCACTATCTAGTGCGCCACCGGGCCGGCCCTCATTTAGCGGTTTATATGGAGGCTTCACCACATAGGCATGATTGATCAACTCCGTCTGCAGGCTGCTCTCGCATCCCCTGGAGGTTAGGGGTGGAAGAGGTGGGGGCTAAACGTGCCGAGCTTCTAGCCATAGCCTGGTCTTCCTGGCCACCAGCCCTCATCCTGAAGCTATCCAGGGGCCCACCAAGTGTGGTCTCAGTAGAACAAGAGATGCTCCTATCATGCAGGAAATGCCAAGGAGCTTGGGAGCTCTGTGTCAGGAATTGGGGACCTAGACTGAATCTGTGTTTCTTACTGTGCGACATCTCCACACTGCTCCACCACTCTGGTTACTTCACCCTCTCACAACACTGTTTATTTGGACTCTATAAGAAGTAAGGTGAACTTTTGAGCATTCTAAAGCACTGTAGGAACCTAGGGTGGTGTGGCTGTTGTCATGCATGGGTAGCAAACTGTATCAGCAGCCCATTGAGGAGAAGCGCAACATTTCACACGACAGGTCATTCCCTTCTAGAAATGCTTCCTTAGTTTTCCAGGTGTTACCACATCTGTTCTTTTCCTCCTCCTTGACTGACAACATCCTCACTCAGACTTCAGCTGTCTCGTTTCAGCAACAATTGATAATCATTCATGAATCCATGAACGAACAGGGGTAGAGGACAGCCTCTAACAGTTCATTAAGAGATGCATTCCCAATAACGTTTTAGCTTTTAGGCTTAACAATTATCCTGTATACCAATATCTGTAGCTGTGTTGTTTTGGTCAATGGTGTACTCTTAATTCACTTCAGAAGAAGGTTTGTAATACATAGAGCCTTACAGTCATATAAAAAGTTTTTAAAGTAAACATGTGTTTATCTACTTCTGTTTCAGAAAAATATGATATGGGGATTAGTAAAAGATTTTTGAGCATAAAGATATTATAGTAGGACAGTGTTTTGTGAAGAAGAAGAATAAAAATATGGGTTTCAAAAGTAAAAGAGAAATCATGTAAACTTTTTGATTTAAATAAGAGTTTGTTCCTGTATTTCTTTTCAAATGGATAACGTGGACATTTAGATTCTATTGATACATTTAGGACTGATGTAACAGCTTTATTATAAAATATTAATACATTTGTAATTTACCAGAAATTACATTCTTTGCAACTATTTATACTTAGGATAAAAAGTTTAAATGTCAAATAAATATATGCCAGGTGACATTTAGGTTTTAAAATTCTTCCAGTGAGTTCTTAAGATAAAGAGCATGCCTTCCTCTTTTAGTGGTAAAGAAGAGAAGAAGGGAGAGAGAGAGGAAGCTTTGTTTCTTACTATTTTATCCTCGTGTTTTGCAGTCTGTGAAGAGTACACGTGATCCTACCAGTAATGAACTTTTTTTCTCTCTTTGATCAGATATGGTTCGGCTCGCATTCACAGATGTTTCCACAAAAAATTTTGATGAATTCTTTAACCTCCACAGAACCGCCAAGGTAAAACCAACCATGTGTGTTTAAAAAGATAAAATTATGTCTGACACTAGAAAACATTTCTAGGATTAGAAATGTATAGTATATATTTGGAGAAACAAATAGTCAACTCGCTTGTGAATCTTACTAATGATGCTACCAGTGCCGTCAGGTTAGAAGTAATAAAAAAAAGAGATAGAATTTAGCAATAAAATGTCTGAACTTATAGGAACGAGAGAGCCCCAGTTAGTGTAGGAGATTATCCCATCCAAACAAAAGGGCCCCAAATCCAGAAACTCATTGAGGAAGCCAAATATGAAGATGGTATTTTTAAAGAGGGAAGAAAGAGCAAAAAGAGGGTGAGACACCCTCTTCCCCCCCACCTCCAGGGGGACCAGCTCAGACAGGAAACCAGACTCAGCCACTCTCAGAAACAGGGGTCCCTGGCTCAGGTGGGCAGACCCTCTGGCATGCCTCAGCTCGTGGTCTTGGGGCGTGCTGCTTCATTGGCCTGTGCCCTGTGCCTCTGGCTGCTCATCTGTAAGATGAGACTAATAAGACCTTTCTCAGAAGGTTGTAATGAATGCACAAGAAAATGTGAAGGATGTACCTCGCATAGTGCATGGCACAGGGTGGCTCTCACCAGGTCCCAGGGATCCAGATAGTTTCTGGTAAAGGATCTCCTCCATGGCCTTCTGGCAGTCAGTTTCTCTAAACCCTAGGACAATGAAACACAGAATTTGGCCCCCCTCCCCCTTCTTATCCCTATGAACTCTCTGGTGGGTACAGTGCTCCTCACTATCAGCTATGAAAGACATAAAAGAGAAAAGGAAGAAACTGAGTCATTAGGTCTGAGAACAGAGTCCACGCAGGACCCCATGCCCTGGGATGGGGGCATCTGGTCACACATGTGGCTCAGGCTTCCCTGCAGATTCTGACCCTCAGCAGGGGCTGGGAACCTCGTCGTAGACAAGCCGAGGTGGGGCACAGAGGGCTACTCCAAAGTAATGTGCTGTGTCCTTCAAGTTGGGTAACGTGGTATTTGTGGACTTTTCTGATTACCTGTTTCCCTATGACTTAGGGATTCATTTTTTGAGGTAAACTGAATTGTCTTTCTCTTTTACTGTAGTCTAAAATTGAAGACATTAGATTAGAACAAGAGAATGAAGCTGAGAAGTCAATCCGACTTCACTTCCAGATGGAGCAGATTGTCTACTGCCAGGATCACGTGTACAGCGGCGCCTTACAGAAGGCCAGAGAGAAGAAAGTGGAGGAAGAGAAGAAGAATCCGTCCAGTGGTCTGTTGACTAGCACCCGGTCTTTATCAGAGTCTTCCCTGGCTGAAATCTTCCAGCACCTGATCGCCTACCACCAGGTGAGTCTGCGACTGTCTCCATTCTGTTTCCTTTTCTTCTGAATGCCTCTCTCCCTTAGTTTCATCATCTCTCTCAGGGCCCATCAGCCAGATGTATTGTCAGCCCCTTGTTAGCCTCTGCAGAAGCAGCTGGGCCTCAGACAGACAGAAGACATTATGGCCTTGACCCACTGACATCTAGTTTTGACTGGCTGTGTGGCCAAGTTACTCACCCTCTCTGAGCTTCAGCTTTCTTTCTGGAAAATGGCATCTCCTCATAGGGTTCTAGTGACTATTCCATTAGAAGAGTGTGGGTAAGTCCCTTAGTTTTGCACTAAAGTACAGTGGTGGCTCACCAAGTGGAAACTGGCTCCCAGGCACGTTCTGTGGCTGCTATGCATATGCTGTGGCTGCTACTGTACTTTTCAGGTAATGTGAAGTGCAATCTAATTCATCCCGGAGAAGGAGGCAGTGAACACGGGTACAATTCAAGTAGAGCTGCTGGAATACCTAAAAATCTGGACAGGTGAAGCAAATTGTAGTCTCTCGGTTTATTTGACATCTCCATCCCTTCACTATTGGGATGCTGTAGGGCAGTGCTTCTCTACGGCAACCATGCACACAGGCCTCCTGGGCATTGTGTTGAAATGCAGGTGTTGATTGCAGATCTGGGGTGGGGCCAAGATTCCACATTTCTAATAGGCTCCCAGGGCCTGCTCGTGCTACTGGATTGAGACCACACTTGGAGGACCAAGGCTCTAAGCCAAGGGTCAAACCCAATTCCTGCAGACACTGGGAGGTGTGCACGCATGCGTGGAGCCAGTTAAGGTTAAGACAGGAGTGCACCACTGCTGCTCTGAAAGCCGAGCTCAGAGCCTCTCTGTGCACACTGCCTTATGCAGCCAAGTTACCTTTTAGAGTAGGTAAGGCAAGTGCATGTAGAAAGTCCATATAGTAGAATGAATGACAAAGGAAAATTAATATCCGGCCACCCCCATCCAAGCCATGCAGTTCCCCTCACCCAAGCAGCCCCTCCCCAGGCTCTCTTATGTCCCTAGGGAAACTCCAGGCATCAGAAAGCTTACATGCTGTCAGGCTGGGGCTCAGAGACCCTTCAAACCCATTGTACAGACTGGGTCACAGACCCCTCACATGCCAGCGTGGGTCATCACACCCCTCACGTGCCAGGCTGGGTCACCAGACCCCTCACATGCAAGGTTGGGTCACAGACCCCTCACATGCAGGTCATGAGCTAGGTAATTGGGAAAGATCCCAGGAGCCGTTGGCGGATGAAACGAGCTCAGTCCTCAGCTTCCTCAGCAGCAGCATCAGCAGCAGCATCTTACAACAACAGTCTCCAGCAGCAGTAGCGGTGGCCTCCTGGAGCATCCCGGGGGCCTTGGAGGCAGCTTGCAGCAACAGCCTCCAGCAGCAGTAGCGGCCTGCCTGTCCCCCCCCCCCCCCCCCCCCCCCCCCCC